TATTTGGTTTGTGATGGTTAAAGGTACATAAATCCACTTATACAAAGGTGGAGTTAAAATATAAATACCTTCAATATTTTATCTGAGTGCTTTCTTAACTCACTTTTAGAAATAATAATAAAAATCCAAATCATCTTAAGCTACACCCAACAGCCGCTGGTAAATATACTGAAACAATTAAGATTCTCATTGTTAAGCATCCAATCTCACAAACGTAACTTTCCGCAATGGCTGTCAGATCTTGGTAAAAAAAAAAAAAATGTTTTCTAAGACAATATTTGGGGGTTTCTGGTATTTTAAGCCACTAATAACTGTAGTTATTATATTTACTAATAATAACTAGGGAATAAGTTGTCTTCTCCCGAACAGGTCAAAGAAAGATAATTAACATCATATTTCCAATTAGCAACTATTCTAAATATATTGATAGATTTTGAATAAAGGAGTATTTTTTAACATTTAAAGAGGATGTAATTTTACATACCATTGTGAACAAAGGTGGTAAATACTTTGCTGCTTCAAATTATCCATTTATCTCTAAATCATATACAAGGGCGTTTATCTTTAAAACAAAACACTAGAGAGATTAACTATGTTACTATTTCATCTATCATCATTATACAAAGTATAACAAATGTAAAGATTTTTCCACAGATTTTACCTGTTAACATTTTTAGCACAACAGCACCTGATGTCAGTGAGATGTCTATCACTGAGATGTTTCAAAGATTCCAATACCGCAAAAAGAGGCGTTCTTGAGAATCCACTTCAATTGCTGTATCAACATAACATTTACTATAACGGGATCCATGTCACTTAAGACAAGGTCTTGGAAATGCTGTCAATTAATTGATTCTATAAAAGAATATCGGAGAGTATCCAATCTATACACATCATAAACGGTGTAAAAATGTTTCATGGACAAAACAAACAAAATAAAAAGCAAAGACAAAAGACAAAGTCAAATACCAACACCATCACCACGGTGATAACAGATGATGCTGATTTAATATCTGCAACCAATTCTAGCCAAATATTTGGAAAGCTGGACTCTACAACCAATACTAAACAACAAATACCCGGGTATTCTACAAACACAAACTCCAGCAATGTATCTAAAAAATGTAAACTTCTACAGGCCTTTAAAGACTTTGGATTACAAATACAATTACTATTTTTAACTTTGGATTACAATTCGTATCTGGATCTATCCAAGAATATCTTACTCTGGGACCTGGTGTTCTTTTCAATTCTTTCCCAGACAAAAGCTTTGCTCATTTTAACCAACCACCTTTACAGGCAAAGATCAAACTACAGATATTTTACTGTTACAACAATGATCAAAGATGCTGGGAGCACAAAAACCTAAAGACTGTTGGAGAACTTTGGTTTACTAATTTAAGGAAGAAATGCGCTACAATGCCCACAGTTTAATGGAGAGGGTGTTATGGGCAAATGCAAATATTACAAGTCTTAGAATGAAATGTTGTATTTCTTAAACTGTGTACTTTGTCTTTAAGAGATATTGCAAACTGACAAGGTGTTAGAAATGGAACATATTGTTTTTCATAGATTTTTCTTTAAGCAATAACCTCAATGCATAATATGTGTGCTCCATTTTGTCCCAGACGAATTACAATAACAATAATGCATAAACAAGCTTCAAGGCTATACTACGACTCTTGCAGTACACAATATACTGTGGTAACCCCAAGTTAATGTAACTTCCCCAAATCCGGGAATCTCCCACGACTGTACACTTACGACTTAGTATAAACAACAGATAACCTATTCAGACTTTAAGATGCCATCTTGAATTAAGTCAGGAAAATTTCCATGACGTATACACCCTTTAGTTATGGCCTTGTATGTTTGCCAAATTAAGGGAGGTCCTAAATTGAATAAAGTAAAAAGTGTTACTTTTTCATATTTGAACTACAGTAACCTAAAATGGAGACACCTAAGGTATAAATAGGTGCACTTTTAAATGTTAAGACACAGAGGAGAGACTTGGAGACAGACGCTGCTCCATCTTAAAATGACAGAGAGGCTGACATGATGACATGTTCAGAAGGGTATGTTAACCTATTAATGATATTTGCACGCATGTAATTTAAATCTTATAAACTCTGCTATAATGGATTTTATATTTTCATATAATAAATATGCAAAAAGACAATCTTGCTTCCAAGACAATCCTTATTTTATATTGTATTCTCAATTATTTATATATGGTAAATAGAGGATCTCTTACACTATATAAAATTATGGCTAAGATGTCTGTATGGTTAGCCCTACTAAGTTCTATGCTTTAAGACATTATAGTGGTAAATAAGGGAACCACCAGCGGTTACACATCGAGGGTACTGTTTTACTTGGGAGACTTTGTTGAACTCAAATATTAGTGTTTCAAAATGATAAATTGTATTACATGGATGATATTTTAAGTAAAAGTTAGTTTTTTTGCAATTTTTACAAACGAACAGCACTTTTATGGACTATACTATTGTTGTAATATGTTTTACTGTTTTAAAACACTAATATTTGTGTTTAGTGAAGTCTCCCGAGAATAACAGTACCCCCCATGTACAGGTTGTATGGTGTTTTGGAAAGTTAGAGAGTCACATATAAGGCTTGCATTTCATTTTTTTGACATTGAAATTTGCCAGATTGGTTATGTTGCCTTTGAGAGCGTATGGTAGCCCAGGAATGAGAATTACCTCCATGATGGCATACCATTTGCAAAAGTAGACAACCCAAGGTATTGCAAGTGGGGTATGTCCAGTCTTTGTTAGTAGCCACTTAGTGACAAACACTGTCCAAATATTAGTTTTTTTCTTTTTTCACACAAAAACAAATATGAACGCTAATTTTGGCCAGTGTTTGTGACTAAGTGGCTACTAAAAAAAGACTACAAATACCCCACTTTCAATACCTTTGGTTGTCTACTTTTTCAAATGGTATGCCATTATGGGGGTAATTCTCATTCCTGGGCTACCACACCATCTCAAAGGTAACATTACTAATCTGGCAAATTTCAGTTTGAAAATGTAATGTGCTATATTTGACCCTGTAACAGTATTATGACATTAACAGCTAAAATACAAATTTAAAAAAAAAATCTTATTTTCTCACATTTTTTTAAAATTTTTATTCATAATAAATTATGTTCCATATATGAATAGTTAATGATAAATTAAAGCCCTGTTTCTCCCGAACAAAATTATATATAATAAGTGTGGGTGCACTTAAAGTGACAGCGGTGAATTACGGTTGAACAGACATATAGCGCAAATTCCAGTTTTTGTTTACGTTTTGTTTTGATCAGACCGTGTACTATTGACTCTGTCCTGAAGGGGTTAATATTAGTTTGTTTCAGAAATGAAAATAAATGATTATTTCAATGAAAACAAATATTCTTACATTTACAATTTCATTATTTTGTTGAGACATTATTATAAAAAAACAACCATGTGTCCCTTCCCTTAAATTAGAGAGTTTTCATTATTTTTACAAAATACGTTGTTCCGAATGTATTTTGTAAGTTCAATGTCATCTGTATGAAAACAGCTGTACATTTCTGATTTTTCATCTCCGCAATGTATTTGTAAAGGGAAAAAAATCATTGTTTGTGGATTAATCAGTTACTGATCTAACCGGGTGTTTTGGAGGTCCTGCAAGTTGCACCAACCTCGCTGGTAAATTACAATCAGTAGGTAAAAATCCATGATTATCGCTGGCTCTGGAGAACAAAGTATAAGCAAAAGATGGCATATTAGTTTAGGCAGGAAAATGCAAAGGATTAAAATCACCTATTAAGATTCCCACAGTCAAAGATAAATACAACACAGCCATAACATTTCCTATGGGCCATTTGCCATATTTTTCTTTTTAAAACTTAACCCCTTCAAACAATATACTAATAAAAAAAAATCCAAGAAGACACTGTTTGGTGACTTTAATTTGAACCAACTGTGTAATTTTATATCCTGGGTAGTTATTTGTTTGTGGAAATTGTCTGTGTTTTAGTAATGGACTCATTAAAAAAATGTGATATGTATCACCTCAAGTTCTTATTACCATATCTATTTAATTTATATTACGTAATAAGAAGCTGAGAAAAATTATATTTTGGAGTATGGTATCTTATTGTTACAGCTGTTTTAATAATTGATGTACAAAGCAATATACTCTGTAAAAAGGGATGATTTGTTTTCTCAAAAATGTTATAACATAATTTTTATGCAAATTATATGGGCAAATTTACTACACTCAAAAAATTAAACTTTGAAATCTATTTTTTAATGGAATATAGCTAAAGGATAATTCAGATTTGAATAATCAGTTTTACTATACCAAATAAGTAAAATGCAAGTTATATAATGTACTTGTTTATTCTAATACCTGTTGGTATGTGTGGTGACAGTGTTTCTTGCTATATGCACTTGTGTGTGTAAACTGGCAGTGGGGATCTGATTGTGTGTCTGACAGTGCGTATTTGTATGTGTTTTCTGTCATTTTGTCTGTAACATGCAATTGTTTTTGTGTTAGTTTAAGTATAGAACATTGCAAAACAAATTAAAATAAATTTGTAAATAAACATCTATGAGGTTAACCTTCTTGTGCATGTTCACCTGTATACTTAGCTTCGCATGTGTCTTGGTGTGTGTAGCTATGTGAGGCAAGCAGTGTGCATTTTTGTGTGTCTGGCTATATGTGCCTGTGTATGTCTTACTGTGTATAGACCCACCCACTAGACGCCAGAGTATTCACCCTCCATTGATAACAATTTAGGAAAACGTGGCTAAAACACACATAATTCATATTTTGACATGCTCGTTTCTGGCAGTGTGTGTCAGGATTGAGCTAGTTCTAGCTCACAAACCGTACTGGACCCTTAGAGTGACTGGGCTAGCACAGAATAAATATAACAAAATGTCTGCATGCAGACACGAGCTGAACACAAGCAGGCTGAGGACAAGGTTAACAGAAGTAAACAGTATTGAAAGGCAAGCAAAAAAAAGGATCCTGCGCCATTATCTTTTTATACACTATTTTGCTTTCCTGGCATTTTATTCATCTTCTAATACCTATCCAGAGGTGGGGATTATACCACCAACGCTACTACCAGAGTGCAGTGACATCTGCACTCCATTTGTGAGTATATTTTATTATTTTTTTTATCATCTATCACGTTATATCATCAGAGAGCACTATTTGCTGTTTTTATCTTCCTCTTCCCCTGAGTGTCGGACATCCTTACCCTTTGGAGGACAAGCATCGATATATCCTATAAGCGGGGATAAATCCGCTGTATGCCTGTTACACCTGAGCTGGCCATAGCTCATTCGAATGTGAGTGTTTCATTTATATTTGAAATTATTTTACATTCACTTTATACACTCTGCACGATTGGTCCTCTCTTCTTGTGTCTTCCATATCACGAGACGATTTTGAACTACTACTACTAGAAATATAGAAGACACTTTACCAGCGAATACAGTGACCAAGTCAACTGGACTTCTGTCATTCCATTGGGACTATTAATATTGATTTATTTTTATATTTTATTTTTTATTTATTTTTTATTGTAATTTGTATCTTTATGGCACAGCCTTTCTTTCTTTCTGTCATACGTTTCTAACATAGAGGGTTAGAGAGTTACCCTCTGTAAGGTCGCTGCCTATTTATTGTATTATTAGCGCTAACCTACTTCTTTTATCTCAAGAAAACAAGGATAACTAGGAAGTATATATAACCTAGTACCTTATGAGATGTTACTATTCGTACCTCGTTTTATTTTATCTAGACATTAATAACAATTATGTCAATTTATGTAAAACATTTCTATTAACATTTTAGGCTTGTATCAATTAGTCTCAAAATAATGCTTCACGAACTCTACATATTGGAGTGAGCATTCACCTGAGCAATTAATTCCGTCAAACAGAATTATATTCTGGATTACTTACTACCAATAGAGTCTTTTGAGGATCACCTCTACCTTTGGCCATTATGAATAAAGCCTGTGAGTGAGGGGATAACCTTGAGTCCAAACTCTTAGTCAAAGAAAAGCTTAACAGCTTTAGTAATTACTATTTAGACTCTCTTTACTATCTTCGTTTTGGACAGTGCATATTTACATAGTGTTTCACATATATCCAGTGTATATCAACAGTCAAAATTGTTCTTGTTTTGATTGTGGATATTATGTTTCTTTCTTTTAGCTAGGAAGTATATATACCCTATACTGATA